TAAAATTAAGCAAAAATACATATCCACCAATGAACAGTTTAAAAATTACTTAATGAGTACTCTTTTATTAACTTTGACAACCATTCTTTCCAAGCAACTGAAAGTTTTAACAAATATTCTTTTTATTATTAATATCAAATCTATAGTAACTTATTCATCTTGATCATAATATCTATATTATGGTCAAAATAAGTATTTTTTTTTTATAAATATGAATTAGTAATGAATGAAAACATACGTAATTTAGAAAAATACGTAGTATCTCTAACTATTAAAATAAGTAATTTTACTTTTAGATCTAATCAATACAATTTATCTCTAATAAAATTTACTTAATAATTATAAGTAAATTTTAGTCAAAGATGATTAAATAGAATATCTAATTTGACAATAAAATATTCACATTTCATGAATGTCTTGAAAAAAAAGAGTAATTAACAATTGTAGTATCTTTAATAGAATTTGAATAATTGAGCATTAAACTTAGGTTGAGATTTAAATTAGAGTTGGGCTAATGCTAATATATGGACCAAAATTCAAAAAAAATAATTCTTGGAAGTTTATATGGGCTAGGGGACATTGCTGGGCATTGCCCCCAACTACCTACGCCACTGGTGAGGGATTTTCCATTTTCAAGGTTTTGAATTCTTTTGAAGCTGAGTCAAAAAAAGGTAATTAATTCTCTTTATATATTTTTTAAAATTACTTTTACATGCGCAAAAAATAGTAAAAGATCAAAGAAATTATCCCCACACAGCAGTTTACTCGAGATATCATTTCGATACTTTTACCATGTTATACCTCTAAGTTTATTCTAGTAGGAAATATGATCGTGATTAACATATGAGCACTTTATTTATACGGATGCTAACAAAGATAAGAAAAATGGAGGAACGAAAGATTAATGATATAATAGGTAAGGATAGAGATAAGTAACATTTCAACTACAATGCAAAATGTCATTGCTATTGACATGGAATACAACGTTACTGCTACATATTTGTGTATAATTATATAGTATTTGAATTAAGATATTCTTGTCGATGTAAATGAATTTTCTTTATAATATTGTCATTTGTCATTGTGACTCATACATTGTGTATGAAATATTATGTGATGCTCATGTCCACGTAACTTAAGAAATAAATGATTCAAATTATATGAGAAATAGTATTATTTTAGGGAATGATTGTTCGTCAAAAAAGAAAAGAGAGTTAATTTCAATTTTATTTTATATATATATTTTTGAATTGTTAAGATGTGATATCCATATCTCTATCACGATAATTTTTTTTTTTTTTTTTAACGAGGTGTCCCAGCTTGCGCTAGACTATATATCCTCGTCCCTGAACCTCCGGCCCCTCAGCTGCTCAGGGAGGTAAATCGCAGGATGTGCCATTGTTGGTTCCCAGGTTCCCACATTGTTTTTACTCCTTCTCCAAAGGAAGCCTCCTCCATGGTGATTAATCCACAAATAATTTCTCATTTATTGGATCAAAGGTTCCTACCAGAAATCGAACTCCCCACGCTTGGTTTCAGAGCCCCCAATGTGATTGTTCCGCCAACTTGGTTCCAGAGCGTGTGTGCATAGTTTTGTACACGGAGGTTGCAGGTGATGCATTTCGACATTCATTGTTGATAAGTTTGGCAGTGTTGGATTCCCAATTGGGCGTACAATTGATATATGGTCACACAATAGAAAAATGAGAGATTGAATGTCAAAGTTAAAATTTAAAGTCTTAAATAACAAGGATATAGTAGTTAAAATTTATTTGAATTCTTTCCCTTGATTCACAAACTCATAGATCAGGTTCCTAATGAAACAAATGAAAATTTGATTACTTCCTAAATTTTTGTGAACTCTAAATTAAGCCCGTCTTTGAGCCTCGTTTGTTAAAAATTCATTTTCAACCATATTTTTTTTAAAAATAATTTTGCAGGTAAACTAAAAACTTGTTTCAAATTTTTAATCATATATTCTCCAACAAATCATTTTAGCAAAATTTATTTAAAAAAAAAAAAAAAGGAGTTCAGACAGAGCTAAATAAACTTCTTTTTCCTCTCTCGTTTTGCAAACATAACCAAATTCTAAATCTCTTCTTTTCCCTCCATCTTCACTTACATGGTTCCTCTTCCATTTGCTCACATATTGAATCACAATAGCATGCATATTCTTCTTCGCTCTGAATAGTGTCCTTTTGTACGATGTTGTTTGGAAATTATTTTGAAGAATCCGCGCACCTTGAGGTCTTGCGAAAGAGTTTATAGAGGTTCCTATATTTTCTTTTCATCGAAATTTTTTTTTAACTCCCCACTCTTAGGTCCCCGGTTATCTACTGTAAAAAAAATAAATAAATAAATAAATAAATAAATTTGTCAACACATGAAACGAACTCGAATTGTGGCTTTGAAACCATTGATTCGGGTTCATGTGAAGTCATCAACGTTTCGATTCAAAATCAAACCAAATTATTTGGAGATCATTCAGTTTAGGTTTCAATAGTTAAAATCTGAAACATTCATTCACCCAATTTGATTTAAAAAACACTTATTTTATGCAAGATATTTATTTATTATTCTATTTGTACTTCAAAAAATTTAGTATTGAACTATATATGTTTATAATTTTACATTCATTAACCTTATTTTAATGTCGTTAAAACTTTACTTTGAAACCAAATCGAATTCCAAAAAGTGGTTCTTTTGAAATTTATCCAAACCTTGAAATGATTTTATTTGAAAGTAGTTCAAAAACAATTCAATCCGAATCATGTTTGGCCTTATTTTTTTTTATTCTTAAACACTTCTCATTTTATAGTTCGACAAGTTTATATCACATGTTTAAATATTATAGTCATAATTATTTTCATAGTGAAATTGTGTCTCATTTCCCCACATTCCAATTAGCTGAATGTCACGACTCATTATAAATCGGTTTTTCAGTATATTTTGATAAATGTTAATAAAATGTATAATTGAAAAGTTGTGAATATCTCAAAATGTATGATTAAAATTCATAATTTAAATGAAAATCATAATTTTAATTCATGCCAAACTGAAATTTAAAATCTTTTTACCATAACACCAATCCAAACGACATACACAAACGACTCATATAAGAAAGAGTCGCAGTTTGCTATCAGTGGCGCTCATCACATGGCGCATCTTAGCACTTAATAACTCGAAAAAAAATCCGAACGTTAAACCAGACCAGGATTGGGTCCGAAACCTCGTTGCCCCAACCCTACTCTACACGACCCTCCACCCCACGCCACCCCGATATAATCTAAACTCACCTTCGCGGCGATTTTCCCATAGTATCCAAATCAAAGAAGAGAGAGAGAGAGAGAGACACTTAAGCAAACCGTAGGGCCTTTCTTTCTTTTGAAGCTCTTGTTTGCGTAAAATGTGTGTGTGAATGATCGGGATATGGTTATGGGGACAGAAAGATCGAAGGCTTTGCACAATTTCACGATGCCTTGTGGCCTCCGGTGGGGTAACCAGCGATATCTCCGTTGCATGAAGGTCAACTCAAATGGCCAAATTTCAACCCTCAGCCGCTTCCATGGAAATGATTCTGATTCTTCTGATTATAAGCACCAACAACAGCGTACAACCAGAGAGAAACAGAGGGACAGTGATAGATCCCACAAAATGGGTGTTACGAGAGCGGTGGGCAGTTTCGGTGGTGGACGGAGATTTGAAAACGACGACGATGATGGGATTGCGGCGGTAAGAGAGAAGGTGATGTCCGATCTTCAGGCGGTGGCGGATAAGATGAAAGACCAGATTTTCAAGGAAGGTCTTGAGGAAGGTGAGATTTTCGTTTCTCCATCTCCACCTTCACCTCGGCCACCGCCACCCCCACCGCCTCCACCACCGCGTGCGGCAGGTCAGATTTGTAGGCCGTGGAATTCGAGGACAAGGAGAGCTGCGTGTAAGGCGCCTTTAAGTGGTTCGGTCGCCGGCGGTTCTGGTAGAAATGGAGGAGCTGTTGACGGCGCCACCGCCGGTGGTAACAACATTAGTAAGGCAATGACGGTGGATGTAATGAAACCCCGTTCGGTGCTCTCACCGATAAGGACGCCGTCTACAGGCGATAACAGGTCGCCGAGGCTGAGGATTGGCGTACTCGAAGCGCCGGATTCTCCAAGCGGCGAGAAGAGAGAAAGAGCGAAATTTTCAGTGACACTGCTAAGAAGAGAGATCGAACAGGATTTCATGGCAATGGTTGGTCATAGGCCCCCTCGCAGACCAAAAAAGAGAGCCAAGATTGTTCAGAAAGAATTGGATGTAAGTATATTCAAATTCACAATCAATCATAAACATGATTTCATTTACAGAATGCGAACAGGAATTTCAAAATGTTTGATCATTTGATTGATTGAATTGCGTAATTTATTTCACTGTTCCATTGATTTAACCACTCTTTTTTTGTGGGTTTTCTGTAGTCACTCTTTCCAGGATTGTGGTTGTCAGAAATTACATTGGATATGTACAAAGTTTCTGAAGCTGCTCCATAGACGAAAATGGTGAATTCTTGTTTTCAATTTCAACAGAAGTTAAATGTTTTGAATTGGGTTTGAATCTATTTCTGAGTTTTCCATTGATGAATGAATTTTGCAGTTCTTTGAAGTTTTGAAGGGCCTTTCGTAGGATTTGCTGACAAGAATTGGTTTAACCGTGAAGGATTTACTAATCTAGTGAAATTGTGTCTCATTTCCCCACATTCCAATTAGCTGAATGTCACGACTCATTATAAATCGGTTTTTCAGTATATTTTGATAAATGTTAATAAAATGTATAATTGAAAAGTTATGAATATCTCAAAATGTATGATTAAAATTCATAATTTAAATAAAAATCGTAATTTTAATTCATGCCAAACTGAAATTTAAAATCTTTTTACCATAACACCAATCCAAACGACATACACAAACGACTCATATAAGAAAGAGTCGCAGTTTGCTATCAGTGGCGCTCATCACATGGCGCATCTTAGCACTTAATAACTCGAAAAAAAATCCGAACGTTAAACCAGACCAGGATGGAGTCCGAAACCTCGTTGCCCCAACCCTACTCTACACGACCCCCCACCCCACGCCACCCCGATATAATCTAAACTCACCTTCGCGGCGATTTTCCCATAGTATCCAAATCAAAGAAGAGAGAGAGAGAGAGAGACACTTAAGCAAACCGTAGGGCCTTTCTTTCTTTTGAAGCTCTTGTTTGCGTAAAATGTGTGTGTGAATGATCGGGATATGGTTATGGGGACAGAAAGATCGAAGGCTTTGCACAATTTCACGATGCCTTGTGGCCTCCGGTGGGGTAACCAGCGATATCTCCGTTGCATGAAGGTCAACTCAAATGGCCAAATTTCAACCCTCAGCCGCTTCCATGGAAATGATTCTGATTCTTCTGATTATAAGCACCAACAACAGCGTACAACCAGAGAGAAACAGAGGGACAGTGATAGATCCCACAAAATGGGTGTTACGAGAGCGGTGGGCAGTTTCGGTGGTGGACGGAGATTTGAAAACGACGACGATGATGGGATTGCGGCGGTAAGAGAGAAGGTGATGTCCGATCTTCAGGCGGTGGCGGATAAGATGAAAGACCAGATTTTCAAGGAAGGTCTTGAGGAAGGTGAGATTTTCGTTTCTCCATCTCCACCTTCACCTCGGCCACCGCCACCCCCACCGCCTCCACCACCGCGTGCGGCAGGTCAGATTTGTAGGCCGTGGAATTCGAGGACAAGGAGAGCTGCGTGTAAGGCGCCTTTAAGTGGTTCGGTCGCCGGCGGTTCTGGTAGAAATGGAGGAGCTGTTGACGGCGCCACCGCCGGTGGTAACAACATTAGTAAGGCAATGACGGTGGATGTAATGAAACCCCGTTCGGTGCTCTCACCGATAAGGACGCCGTCTACAGGCGATAACAGGTCGCCGAGGCTGAGGATTGGCGTACTCGAAGCGCCGGATTCTCCAAGCGGCGAGAAGAGAGAAAGAGCGAAATTTTCAGTGACACTGCTAAGAAGAGAGATCGAACAGGATTTCATGGCAATGGTTGGTCATAGGCCCCCTCGCAGACCAAAAAAGAGAGCCAAGATTGTTCAGAAAGAATTGGATGTAAGTATATTCAAATTCACAATCAATCATAAACATGATTTCATTTACAGAATGCGAACAGGAATTTCAAAATGTTTGATCATTTGATTGATTGAATTGCGTAATTTATTTCACTGTTCCATTGATTTAACCACTCTTTTTTTGTGGGTTTTCTGTAGTCACTCTTTCCAGGATTGTGGTTGTCAGAAATTACATTGGATATGTACAAAGTTTCTGAAGCTGCTCCATAGACGAAAATGGTGAATTCTTGTTTTCAATTTCAACAGAAGTTAAATGTTTTGAATTGGGTTTGAATCTATTTCTGAGTTTTCCATTGATGAATGAATTTTGCAGTTCTTTGAAGTTTTGAAGGGCCTTTCGTAGGATTTGCTGACAAGAATTGGTTTAACCGTGAAGGATTTACTAATCTAGTTATACATTGCACCAGCTTTGATAAATAAGAAATTTTACTTGAATTTCTTCTGTTAAAATGGTGGTGTAAAAGACGAATTCACTTGTTTTGGGAATGTTGATTTGTTTAGTTCTGATATAATTGTTCATAATTTTGTTTTTTTTTCTTGGGAATAAAGTGTCCCAGTGCAAAAGGTTGGTAGGGTGTTTTTGTTTTCTTGATTAAACATAGTGCTTTATGCTATTCGAGATAATTTTCTCACAGCATTACTTAATACTTCGTGCAGTTTGTAGTTACTGTTTTATTGAGCTTAGCAAAATGCTTTCTTGGCTGATGGTGATTATGGCAGTTAGGAATAGTAAATGGCTATGATGCGTTCTTTATAATATATATATATTTTTTTATTTTTTTTTATTTTTTTTTACCGTTTCTATGAATTATAATAGAATGAAAAGTCTGTTTGCGCTAAGATGGGATTGGCAGTTGAGGTTAGTATCTAAGAAAAATTTAGCAGGTTTTAGTTTTATGTAAATAGAAGCTTACTTGGTGTTCTTTAGAGGTTGTGTTAGAAATTTTTACTGTTTTCGATTATACAAGCATATGTGGCACTTGTGTGTGTGTGTGTGTGTGTTCCTTGAGAGGGGTACTGGCTCTCCTAGAGAAAGCTATACAATTCTGGCTTCTTCGAAATAACAATCCCGATGAATGATCGGATCGTTTAGATGGTTTGACGAACTTTTGAGATAGTGGTTCGTTACAACAAAGTGTAGTGTCAAACTTTCTTTTTTTCTATGTTGGGTGTCATAGGAAGTCGATCCGTTAAGGTGGATCATATGTGTATCGTAGGCATACTGGTTGAGTTCAATAATAATATATATTTTTTGGTGGATCATATGTGTATCGTAGGCATACTGGTTGAGTTCAATAATAATATATATTTTTTGGTGTACCATGTACATGACCAATTTTTTACAAGCTTTGTTGGTGGTCGACCTGGATCTTAGTCTTATCTGTCGCCTTTTATGTGAATTAATCATTCCTTGGGGGCTTCATGAAGAGGTTTGAGATGCTTCACATTATTAGCAAATGTGCTTGGCTCTAATTCATTGTGAAGTGCAGTGTTATGATGAAATATTTCTTTCCATATGTAGTATCAACATATAAGTAAAAAGTGAAAAAAAAAATGGCAAAATGTAGATAACCCTGCAACTGTGAAAAAGAAAAGAACAATGCTTTTTAGTTACATTTACTTGTGACGAAAAAGAAGAATCATTTAGTTGATCTTAAATGTTGGTCTCAGGATTATTATTTCATTCAAAAAACCGATTGCAGTAAACAATAAAGAATTACAAAATCGTAAAGAACACAAGAATTTTCGCCCCTAAGGGCCCGGATGTTCAGCCAAAGGCCTACTCACCCGTTGTGCATCTACAAAAGTAGATTAGGCTCGAATCCACTAAGAATCACAAAGAATCGATACAAGAATGTATGAAGAAACCACAGTTCCTTCAATTTCAGTTTTCTTTCGCCTCTCTTTAATACAACACTCAATTTTCTACGATCTCACAGATCATATACCAAATACAACCCTAACATCACTCAGATTAGATATTGCTTTCAGAAAAATGCAAGAATAAAAGAGTTTAGAAACCCTCAGAGAGAAGACGAAGAAAACCCTAGAACCGTTCACTCAGATTAGGGCAAAAGTGAAGAGTCACGAGACTTTTTACAGTTCAAAAAAATATCAAAGATCCAACGATCACAAAGGTGCCAAGTGTAAGGTCCACAACAGTTATCCATTATTAAGAAAAACGCGTTTCCAGAAAAACGCTTTTCATTTCCAACCAATTTCAACCCGTTGGATCAACCAACCCGGCAAGGCCCAATATTACTAAGTTTGGGCCAGCCAAGAATAGAGAGGCAACCCACCAACAATCTCCACCTTGCTGATCTATTCTTGATATTCTTTCGTGGATTCAAAATTTGGTCTATTTTTGTTTCATTTGCTCTATAAAACCTGTGAGAAGAAAATGAAAAATAGTCAGTTGATTTTCAAAAAACAACAAATAAAATTCAAATATCAAATTGAATTTATTACCTTCAAAGTATGTTCATAATTTTCAGACAATTTTCGAATTTGTTTAGAGGTAAAACCTTAGTACCAATATCAGAAGGATTAAATTCAGTTGGAATTTTAACCAAGTTAATTAATCCCTTTTCAATCATATTTCTAACAAAATGAAATTTAATACCAACATGCTTAGTCCTATCATGATATACAGGATTTTTACTCAAATGAATTGTACTCTGGTTATCAGTACAGATTCTAATCGTTTCATTCATGAAACCAATTTCATTTAATAACCCCCTTAACCACAAACAGCATCATATGCTGCAATATACTCAGTTTCAGTGGAAGATAGAGCTACAAGTTTTTGTAGTTGGGACTTCCAACTAACACAACCATCACAAAGAGTAAACACATAGGAGGAGGTTGATCTTCTTTTATCTAAATCTCCTGCAAAGTCAGAATCTCTATATCCTTTGAGGATAATACCTTCATTACATCTTTGAAATTTTAATCCTAGCTCAATTGAGCCTTTTAGATATCTTAACATCCATTTGATTGCTAACCAATATGTTTCACCTGGATTGGCCATGAATCTACTAAGCATGCTTATACCATGAGCTAAGTCAGGTCTTGTACGTATCATAAGGTACATAATAGAGCCAACAGCATTTGCATAAGGTATTTTACTCATTCTGTCATATTCTTCATCAGTTTTAGGTGACTGTTCACTTGAAAGTTTGAAGTGATTTGCAATAGGTAAAGTTACAGCCTTACAAGTTTACACTCAGTCATAGCAAACTTCTCAAGTATCTCATTCACATAAGAGTTTTGATTTACATACAGAACACAATTCTTTCTATCTCTATTGATTTCCATGCCTAAAATTCTCTTTGCTTGTCCTAAGTCTTTCATTTCAAATTCAGATTTAAGTTTTTCTTTTTTAATAGAAATAATTTCAGATTTATCATGGCAGGCAATAAGCATATCATCAACATATAATAATAGATAGAGAGAATCAGGTCCTCCTGACCCTTTGAAGAAGAACAAGAGTCAAAATTACTCTTAAGAAATCCCAAATTTTGAACATAATAGTAAAATTTCTTATACCATTGTCTTGGTGCCTGTTTCAAACCATAGAGAGATTTCTTTAATAAACAAACTTGATCAGATTTTAACTTTAGTTTAAAACCTTTTGGTTGATTCATATAAATTGTTTCTTCAAGGTCACCATTTAGGAAGGCTGTCTTAACATCAAGCTAGTCTAATTCCAAGTTGAAGTGGGCTATTAAGGCAAGTAAGATTCTGATAGTGGTGTATTTAACAGCAGGTGCAAAATTTTCATTATAGTCAATACCCTCTCTTTGTGTAAAGCCTTTTGCTACCAGTCTGACTTTATATCTAATGCCCCCAAAAGTAGGTTCACCTTCTTTAATTTTATAAACCCATTTGCAATCAACAACCTTCTGATTTTTGGGACTATTGACAGGAATCCATGTATTCTTTTTAGTTAAAGAGTCCATTTCTTCTTGCATGGCTTTCAGCTAAAGTTTGGATTCCTTACAATTTGTAGCTTCTTCAAAGGTTGTTGGTTCAGAATTAACATATTCAAGTTCAGTGTAAAATGTTACAAATTCATCTGCATTAATTCTTGTAGAAGGGAACCTATTTCTTCTACTTCTGTCTCTGGTCAACTGATAATTTTCAAGGGCAGTATTCTGAGATTGATTTTCAGCATTAGATTCATTTTGAGGTTGATCTATATCAGATTGAATAAACTCCACTTAATCAAATTATCAGGTTCATTAGAATCATCTTCTAGACTATCCAGTTTCTTTAACAGGAAAGGTCAAATCTGTATTTTTTGTTGAGGGGTTCTTACAAGGGAATTTACTTTCATCAAAAATCACATTTCTACTGATGATGACCCTGAACCCACTTTTTCTCTCTCCCATAATCTATAACCCTTTGTTTCTTCACCATAACCTAGAAAAATACATTTTTGAGATCTAGGTTCAAGTTTGTCTACATTTTGGTGAGAGTAGGCTGCACAGCCAAAGACCCTTAATTTCAGGTAATCTGGAGAATTCCCAGACCATAAGTGTTCAGGGATTTGAAAATCAATAGCACTTGAAGGTATTCTATTTATCAGATAAGTGGCAGTTTTCAGGGCCTCTCCCCAAAAGATCTTTGGAAGACCAGAACTAAGTAACATACACCTAAGTTTTTCCAATAAGGTTTTATTCATCCTTTCAGAAATACCATTTTGCTGAGGAGTATGTGTTACTGTTCTGTGCCTCAAGATTCCAGATTCTTTACAAAGAAGATCAAATTCAAAATTACAAAATTCAAGGCCATTATCTGTTCTAAGTGCTTTTACCTTTTAGTTTGTTTGATTTTCTATCATCAGTTTTCATTGTTTAAAATTTTGGAAAGTGTCTGATTTATGTTTTAAAAGAAAAGTCCAAATTTTTCTTGAGAAATCATCTACAATTAGCAAATAAAATCTAAACCCACTTAAAGTATTTACAGATGCTGGACCCCATAGGTCAGCATGTAAATACTCTAGTATAGAATTTGATTTGTGAATTCCAATTTTAAAAGGCAGTTTATTTTGTTTTCCAATAACACAGTCTTCACAGAATTCTAATTTTTCAATATTGTCCTTTCCAAAACATTTTAATTTGTTTAAAATTGCCAATCCTTTTTCACTAATATAGCCAAGTCTCCTGTGCCAAATCAGAGTCTTATTGTCATGTGATTTTACAACTGCAGAGCTATTTCCAACTAATGGTTTAGCTTGCAGTGTAAAGATTCCATTAGATTTAGGACAAGAGATTATATCTTTACAATTAAGACTAATTACAGTTTGTCCTTTATGAATTCTAATTTCATATTCATCATCCAATTGCCCCAAAGAAATCAAGTTTCTTTGAAGATCAGACACATATCTGATCTGAGACAATTCAAGAATATATTGTTGTTTTCCAATAACAACTTAAGGTTTCCAATACCTCTTATTTGACAGATCATATTATTCCCCATCTGAACTTGACCGCCACTATTCAAGTCAGTAAAATCAATGAACCACTCTTTAATGGGACACATATGGAATGAACACCCAGAGTCAAGAACCCATTCATTTTGGTTTCTTTTGGTTGTGGTAACAAAAACAACTCCCTGTATATCAGGTTCATTATTACAGACA